TGGTGGCTCCATGGTGGCATCTCTGGGGGTTTGGTGGCCCCTTGGTGGCATCTCGGGGGGTTCGGTGGCTCCATGGTGGCATCTCAGGGGGGTTTGGTGGCTCCATGCTGTCATCTTTGGGGGTTTGGTGGCTCCATGGTGGCATCTCATGGGGTTTGGTGGCTCCGTGGTGGCATCTCAGGAGGGTTCGGTGGCTCCGTGGTGGCATCTCAGGAGGGTTCGGTGGCTCCGTGGTGGCATCTCAGGGGGGTTTGGTGGCCCCTTGGTGGCATCTCAGGAGGGTTTGGTGGCCCCTTGGTGGCATCTCAGGGGGTTTGGTGGCCCCTTGGTGGCATCTCAGGGGGTTTGGGTGACATTGTCCTTGTTGTCCCCAGGGAAGGAGAAGAAGACCCCCCTCCTGGAGGGGACCCCGTTGCGTCTCAAGCCCCGCAGCGTCCACGAGCTCTCGGTGGAGCAGCAGCTTTACTACAAGGAGATCACCGAGGCCTGCGTGGGCTCCTGCGAGGCCAAACGCGCCGTCAGTGTCCCCAAATGTCCCCAAGTGTCCCCAGTGTCCCCAACCCCACCTTTGGGGACATCCCCGTTGTCCCCAAGGCCCTTCAGGTTGAGGTGGCCCTTGGTCTTGAGGTGGTTCCATCTCAACGTGGTTCCACCTCAACGATGTCCCCTTGTCCTATTCCCTACGTAGTTATGGGGTCTTGGTGTCCCCCCACCATGTCCCCAAATGTCCCCAATGTCCCCAACCCCCCCTTTGGAGACATTGGGGACATCCCCGGTGTCCCCAAGGCCCTTCAAGTTGAGGTGGCCCTTGGTCTTCAGATGGTTCCACCTCAAAGGTGTTCTTCTGGGTTGGTGGTTTCCCCCTCTTGTCCCATCCCCCACGTAGTTATGGGGTCCTGGTGTCCCCCCCCAGTGTCCCCAAATGTCCCCAATGTCCCAAATGTCCCCAACCCCACCTTTGGGGACATCCCCGGTGTCCCCAAGGCCTTTCAGGTTGAGGTGGCCCTTGGTCTTGAGATGGTTCCACCTCAACGACGTCTTCTTCTCTCGCTCTCCTTGTGTCTTTCACGTAGTTATGGGGTCCTGGTGTCCCCCACCATGTCCCCAAATGTCCCCAAGTGTCCCCAACCCCCCCGGGGTGTCCCCTGTCCCCCCCCTTGGTGACATCCCCGTGTCCCCACGCAGGAGGCCCTGCAGAGCATCGCCACCGACCCCGGCCTCTACCAGATGCTGCCGCGATTCAGCACCTTCATCTCCGAGGGGGTGAGTCCCCCCCACCTTGATGTCCCCTTCGATGTCCCCAAGTGTCCCCACGTGTCCCCAAGTGCCACCAAGTGTCCCCAAGTGCCACCAACTCGTCCCCATCATCACGACGTGGGATGGGAGCCACCACCTCCCCCTGCGTCCCCACCTGGGGCTGTCCCCGTGTCCCCTTGTGTGTCACCCCTTTCCATGTCCCCAAGTGTCCCTCCACGTCCCCAAGTGCCACCAGGTGTCCCCAAGTGCCACCAGGTGTCCCCAACGTCCCCGATGTCCCCTCTGTCCCCAGGTCCACGTCAACGTGGTGTAGAACGTGGCTCCTTGTGTCCCTCCATGTCCTTCACGTGTCCTCCATGTCCCTCCTGTGTCCCCCCACATGTCCCCAAGTGCCACCAGGTGTCCCCAAGTGTCCCCACGTGTCCCCAAGTGCCACCAAGTGTCCCCATGTGTCCCCAAGTGCCACCAACTCGTCCCCATCATCACGACGTGGGATGGAAACCACCACCTCCCCCTGCGTCCCCACCTGGGGCTGTCCCCGTGTCCCCTTGTGTGTCACCCCTTCCATGTCCCCAAGTGTCCCTCCACGTCCCCAAGTGCCAACAGGTGTCCCCAAGTGTTCCCAAGTGCCACCAAGTGTCCCCAATGTCCCCGATGTCCCCTCTGTCTCCAGGTCCACGTCAACGTGGTGTAGAACGTGGCTCCTTGTGTCCCTCCACATCCTTCACGTGTCCTCCATGTCCCTCCTGTGTCCCCCCACAGTGTCCCCAAGTGCCACCAGGTGTCCCCAAGTGTCCCCAAGTGCCACCAAGTGTCCCCTCTTGTCCCCAGGTCCGCGTCAACGTGGTGCAGAACAACCTGGCTCTCCTCATCTACCTGATGCGGATGGTGAAGGCGCTGATGGACAACCCCACCCTCTACCTGGAGAAATACGTGAGTGACCCCAGGGACGCTCTGGGGACACCGGTGTCACCTCCC